GAAATGTTGGGAGATTTTTCCATTGGCAGTAATTTTAAAGAGGAAGTTATTCCGATTATTTGAGAATGGTTTACTTCTCCGCAATGGCTAAATATGAACCCCCAAAGTCTTTTTATTACGGTGTGAGAAAATGATAAAGTTAGTTTAGAGGTTTGAAAAAAACAAGGAGTAAAGGAAAATCATATCCTTTTTGGGAGTAAAAAGACTAATTTTTGAGATATGGGGGATGGTCCATGTGGACCAAACACGGAAATATATTTTGATTTTCATGGCGAAAGAGAACTACCTAAAAATATTGAGGAACTGGATAATAAAAGGTTTATTGAAATTTGTAATATTGTTTTTCCCGAGTTTTATCATAAAGGGGAGGAGTATTTGCCTTTGGCCGAAAAGTGTGTGGATACGGGTGCTGGATTAGAACGAATTGCGATGGTTTTACAAGGAAAAAAAAACACTTTTGAAATTGACCTCTGAGAACCAGTTATTAAGTTGATAGAAAGTTATTGCTTAACTAATGGTTTGGAATAACTCAGGGAAAAGAGAAAAAGATACCACTCTTAATTTAAAAAAAGTAGTAAAATCAGTTAATAAGTATTATGAAAAGCAAAGTCGTTCTGACAAACTTTCTCAAAAAACCGAATATCAAAAATATTTAGAGGAATTGGAAGACCCTAATTATCAGGGAGGTTCATGGGCTTTACCGGAAAATCCGATCCCTTTGGAGCAGGCTAAATATGAGATTTGCCAAAAAGTGATTAGATACAAGAGAAATATCAATAAATCCTAACACCATCGCTCATTTCAAACGAATATTGGCAAGGGAGGTCATTGGAGAGCAATCTTTAACTGATTTTGAAGAGTACAGTCAATTGATGGCATTGAAAAAATACTAAACTGATTGGTAAAAACATTAATAAAATTAACAAATATAAGTAATATGATTTTAGAAGAAATAAAGTATTGTAAATATTGTAATAGTGAACTAAGAAAAATAATCTATGAGATAATTGAGCCGGACAAGTCGAGTGATTTTGAGCGTTATTATTGTAAGAAATGTTTTAAAATGTTTCACTTTCGCCAGCCAACCCAAAGAAAGGCCAAAAAAACCTCCGAAAAAAAGGAGATGAAAACCAAGAAGGTCACTAAGAAAGAAGACAAAAAACGAGATAAAAAGGTAAAATAACAATAAATATATTAATATAATAACATGGCAGTCCCCGCACGGAGGAAATCCTCCACTAGAATTAAAAAAGGTCGTAGCACCAAAAGTTGAAGTTTTCACCAGAAGGCTCTTAATCAGAACTTAATTAAATGTGCTAGTTGTCAAAAAACAAAGGTGCTTCATCATATTTGTCCGCATTGTTCTACTTATCGAACTAATTCTAAATCACCATAAAATTTAAGTTGTTCATATGACAGAAGTAAAAATTCTTTTCACTAAAAAAAGTATTAGGCAGATTTCCGCTAGTAAATTAGATCCAGGAACCAAAGGAGTAGAGTTAGAAATCAAAACTGATTTTCGTATGTCCTCGCTTTGCTCTCTTTTAGAAAAAGCCGCCGGTGGTCCTATAACTGATGCTCCTTTTGAAAAAATTGCTTTTGTTTTTTTTAAAGGTGATGCCGAAAAGGCTTGTTATGACGCTCTTTTGGATAGTAAAAACCAAACTTTTGAGTTAAGTTTTGATAAAGAAAAAGTCTGGTTAAATGTGGATGGTTTTGTGGACCTAATTGATAAAACCAAGCCCGAAATCCATATGCAACCAGGAAATAAAAGTCTAGTCATATTTTTGGAATCTAAATTTACCGGCCTAATCACTTTGGAGAGCAAGGCAGAGAGAGAGAGAGAGAGAGAGACAAAGATGGTTCGAATGGTCCGGGCAACCACCAACCTACCCCACAGGAAATTAATAATTTAAAAACGGAATTGGACCAAGCCAAGGACAACCAAGAAAAATTACAAAAGGCGATTGAAAAAATTGAAAAGTTAAATCAAGATGTTTTAGATAAAAATAAAGATTTAGAAAATAGTTTAAAAGAAGCCAAAAAGCGATTAAATGATTTAAAAAGACAAACTTCTTCTGATAAAGGTTTTTGACGAAAAGAAATAATTATTCCAGTTGCTCTGGTGTTGGTGGTTGTTGTCTTTATCGGAATATTTTTTTGAGTTCAAAAAAGAGAGAAGAGAAAAAATTAAAAAAATAATTCAGCGAGAAAGAGAAATTAGTTTAGAGAGAACAGTCAGCCGTTTTGACCCGATAACAAAAAAATAAAATATGCCGACCCAAGTTCTCTACCAAAAAGATAAGGAAAGTAATTTTAAACACCTTATCATTAAAGACCATGCTAATTTTGCCGAAAAAGGTCAGGATATAGTTTGTGCGGCGATTTCAGCCATTACTAACGGCACGGTTAACTTTCTCCAACTTTATTATAAAGACGACTGCAAAATAACTTATTTGCCAGCCGAAATAAGTATTTATCCTCAAAATGACAACCCCGAATGTCAATTATGCTTGCGGTTAATGCTCTATCAATTGGAAAACATTGCTAATTCCTATCCTGATTATTTAAAAATTGATGACAAAAATAACCACCTATAACCTCATTAAATCACTATTTGCTGATATTCTTATTATTATTCTTTTGCCATTTTTTACTTATTCTTTTGGAAAACATTTGATGAAGAAAAAGAAAATTTCTTGATTTAAATTAACACTTTTTATTTTGGCAATGGTTTTTCTCTTTTCTCTGTCTATTGTCCTATTTTATTTTCATTTACAAGAATTTTTGGGGGCAATGAACCGAAAAACTAATTAAAGTTAAAGTCGCCAAAAGAATTTGACAACGTGATTTTTTAGAAAAAAGGATTGAGCCAGGAAATTCAAAGGGCAGCCTTGCGAGAATTAGTTATATTAGCGAACTTCGGACATAATCTCGAAAAACTGAAAGAAGTGTTTGGCGAGGATTTAAAGCCAATGAAAGGCAATAAAAAAGGCTTTTACCGGTTAAAAATTAACGACCAATATCGAATTATTTTTAAATAGAAAAAATTCTTCTCTTTATAATTTTAGATTAATATTCTAAATTAGGGTTAGTTTTTAGTTATCAGAACTTTTTTTACCCCCTAATTTCCTTTTTGTCTATATGCTAAAAACATATGACAGAAACCATAACTCTAAATAAAAAAGACGGAACTTCGGGATTAGCCGAACCAAAACAACTAATCACTATTAAAGGGAATTTAACCTCCCCCCTCCAACTAAGGAGTGAAAACACCCCCGAACCCTATTATTATTCATTTATTAGATTAAAAGGTCAAAGTATAGATTTACCAGTTATTTTTAAAATTAAAGGCAGGTCAGTTGACAA